AATTCACATGTTAAAGAGATTCCAAGGTGATGTAAAGAAAAGAAAATCTTACAGACAAAGACTATGTATGATGCAACAAAAACACAGGTTGCCTGCCCAGGAATGGCAGACTTCTCTGGTACTTCCCAACAGCAACATATAGGACAGTAGAACAATAATTGGAGAGCACTGAAGACAAATAATATTTCAACTCATTAATTTTATACCCAGTAAAATTATCTTTCAAGATTACAATGTAAAATTAAGTCACCAACTTAAGGAAATCCTGCTGCCCTGCCAAAAGGAGGGTAATTCCAAGATAGAAAGATTGGTGTGCAGGAAGAAAAATACAAGGAAAATGGGAATTGTGGGCATACGTTTAAATGAGCATTGATTACATTAAACAAAATAATAAGGTAGCTAAGACAATAGCCTGTAAGTTAGGAGGGTACCAAGTAGAGCGACTGCGCCCTCAAGTCCTGATGTTATAGCAAGGTGGTAATGAGCTTGGTCTCCTTTGGTTGTAAAACTGTGCAAATAATGTCTACTCTAAGAGACAAAGAGAAGTAAAAAATAAAAATCTAAACAGTCAAGAAAAGAAAAAGAAGCATAGAATGTGTGCAAGAAAATAAAACACAAAATAAAATGGTACCTTAGATGGAAATGCATCACCGTAAGTGTAAGTAAAGTCAGTGTTCCAATTTAAAGTAAACACTGTCAGACTTGACTGAAGATGTCTTAATGGGCTATATACAAAGGCCTACCTTTAAAAAAAATGGTGTAAAAATATTGAAAATTAAAAGGTGGGAAAATTGCCAAGCATAGCAATGCACACCTTTAACCCCTGTACTATGGAGGTAGAGGCAAGACGATTTTTGTGGGTTTGAAGACAGCCTTGCTAAACATAGAGAGTTCCAGGACAGCCAGGGCTACATAGAAATTCCCTGTTATTACGGTGAATAACTAATGCATAGCCTGTAAGGTCAGGATAATTTTAATAGGTAAATGCCAACCAACAGGAAGACACAGTGTGCCAAAGCAGCAAGGAAAGAGAGCTACCATGTGCCTTCGATATCCCTTTAAACCTCTCTCTCCCACGTCACCCTGACATCACCTTGACCACACCCTGATGGGCATGGTCAGGCACACCTATACCCAGCCCTTAGAAGGCACGGTTATGGTGTCTCCCTACACCCTGTCTTCAAGAAAGAAAGAAATAGAAAAATGCATATCCATGTGCATATTATTATCAGAAAGACTAAATTTTAACATAGTCTTACTAGCAATAAAAAGCTTCTTATAAAGATGTATGCTATAATGTGTGTTCACCCAGTCATGTATTATTAAACCATGTCAAGTGGAAGTTTAAAAAAGAGAAAGGAAAGGAAAAATAGAAAAATCCACAATGTTAGTGGGAGATTTTCTAGCCTTTTGACTAATACCTCAGGCAGACATAAATTCAATACTAAGAGATTTAAACAAAGCCACCACTTACCTTTCCTGAATGGACAGCACTGCACATCCACAGAATTAATATACACACTTTTTAAGCATGCATGCAGCGTTTCTCAACTCTGCTCATATTCCAGTTCATAAAGTACATAAAGAAACGCACAACACAGTTCAGGAGATTGGATCCACCTACAGTGTGTTCTCTGACTATGGTGGAACTAAGCCAAAAATTCATGCCAAAAATATAGCTCCCCCAAATCAGGATATGCCTGGGAATTAAGAAAAATGTTCCTAAATAGCTGATCAAAACAGACATCACAATGGAGCTTAGAAAATGATTTGAACCAAGAGATCATGAAAGCAGATACTCAAACAAACATGGGGCATAAGGAAACATGGGGGATTTTACAGCCTGAATTGCTTATTTTAGGAAATAAGACAAACTTCAAGTTAATTAGCTGGGCAGATACCACAGAAGTTAGAAAATGAACAGCAAGAGAGTAGCAGGGTAGAGTCCATAAAAAGAAGCAAAGAAACTGGTGAGACAGAAAAGAAACATTTAGCAGAGAAAAATCAATACAGCACAAGTTGGCTCTTTGAAAAAGACTAACAAAATAACAAACCTTACAATCTCGTGCAAGGAAAAAGAAAGCGGCCCACCTATGAATAAAAAGGGCCCACAATGCAGATGATGCAGATGGTAAATACTTGAGAAGGTTGTAACGAACCTTATGCCAGTAAATGGAAAACTTTAACTGTAATGGGTAAAATTCTAAAAAAAATAGGCAAGTTACCAAAAATCATAATAAAAATGAAAAATCTGAATCATCTTCTAGCCATTAAGGAGATTAAATCAGCAGTACGAAGTTTTCATACAAAATTACACTCCTTGACTGTAGAGGTATGGCCCAAGGGTGTAGTGCTCGCACTGAATATGATCCCCAGGACAGAGAAGGAGAGAGAGAAGGAAGCAGAAAGGGAGAAGGGGAAGAAAGGAAGGAGAGAGGAGGAAGGTTTGCACGGGTGAGTTCAATCCCTTATGCCATCCTTTTAGAACATAAAGGAAGAGGGTATACCCTTAATAGAGAAACCTGATTGGGAGAACTAGAGACATGTTCATTCCTAAAAAACGAGGAGCCAGAACCCATCAGTACACAAAAAGATAAGACAAGGCCACCACGGTAGCACACACCTTTAATCCCATCACTCAGAAGGCGGAGGCAGGTGGCTAGCTGTGAGTTCCAGTTCCAGCCTGATCTGCGTACTGAGTGTCAAGCTAGCTAGCTTGGTATACATAGTAAGTTCCAAGCTAGTCAAGGCTACAGAGTGAGACCCTATCTCAAAGAATTATATAAATAAATAGATGTTTAAGTACATAAATAAATAGCACTTCATTTGGGACTTGAGAGGTAGCTAAGTGATTTAGAGCACTAGCTGTTTTTGCAGACCCACAGGTTTCATTCCCACACTGCTGTAACTCTAGCTCCAGCTCCATGGCATCTAATGCCCTCTATGGCTTCCACAGGCTCTTGCACACACACTGTTCTCATATTCTCCCATGGGTGCTCTCTCTCTCTCTCTCTCTCTCTCTCTCTCTCTCTGTGTGTGTGTGTGTGTGTGTGTGTGTGTGTGTGTGTGTGTGTGTGTGTCACACGAATAAATAAATCTTAAAATAATAAAGTATCTTGCCTTAACTGAGAATGCAGGATATTCTCCTATAGTAACTGGCCAGGGGAGAAAGATCACACAATAGTTTGTGAAGAGTGGCAGAACATTTTAAAAACTTGTCCATTCACTGTGCTGGCTGGTTTTATGTCAACTTGACATGAGCTAAGTCATCTGAGAGGAGGGAACCTCAGTGAAGAAAATGCCTCAGTAAGACCAGGCTGTAGGTAAACCTATAGGGTATTTTCTTAATTGGTGATTGATGGGGAAGGCCCAGCCCATTGTGGGTGATTCTATCCCTGGCCTGGTGATCTAGTTTATAAGAAAGCAGGCTCAGCAAGCCATGAGGAGCAAGCCAGTAAACAGCACTCCTCCAAGGCCTCTGCATCAGTTCATGCCTCCAGGTTCCTGCCCTGCCTGAGTTCCTGTCTTGACTTCCTTCAGTGATATGGAAGTGTAAGCCAAATAGACCCTCCCCAAGTTGCTTTGGTCATGGTATTTAATCACTGTAACAGAAACGCTATAGCACATGACAAAAGCTCTTAAACTGGAAGTCACAAGGAATATCTCTTAAAGCAGCAGCATCAAGGTGCACAGGCTTGGTCACTTGCCCATGTTTAAGGACATAATACACTGATTTGTCTCTCATCAGATAAATCCCACATAGGCTCCCAAGACCTTAGGCAATGGCTACTGCAAACAGCACAGCCTCCTCCCTTTCCATCAGCTTCACAGTGGGCCTGTACAGTCAGGGTAAATCCCATCACCCACCAACCCTGCTTCATTGCAAACTCCCTATTGCTGTGGTAAACACCATTACCAAAAGCATCTTGAAGGAGGGAACTGTTTATTTTTCTTATAGATTATAGTCCATCACTGAGGGAAGCCAGGACAGGAACTTAAGGTGGGAACCAAAGGCAGGAACTGAAACACAGACCATGTCTCTCACTCAGCCTTTCTTTTACCAGCCAGGACCACCTGCCCAGGAGTAGCACTGCCCATGGTGGGCGGGGCCTTCCATATCAAACATTTAATCAAGAAAATGTACTGCAGACATGCCCTCAGTCCAATGTAATAGTGTCAGTTCACAATTGAGCTTTGTAGCAAGCTTTTTTTTTTTTTGTCAGAATATCTTAGACTGCCAGCCCACAAACAATGACACAGAGACTTATTTTTAATTATGAAAGTTTGGCCTTAACTTAAGCTTTTCCCCAACTAGCTCATAACTTAAATTAATCTGTTTTTATTAATCTATGTTCTACAATGCAGCTTTTACCTTTCCTCAGGAAGGCATGTCCGACTTGCTCCCAGTCTGCTGGTGAAATCCACACACCTAGATTCCTCCACCTCTTCCTCTCTCCCCAGAAATCCCACCTATCCTTTCCTGCCTAGCTATTGGCCATTTGTCTTTTTATTAAACCAATCACAGTGACACATCTTCACAGTATACACAAAGATTATCCCACAGCAGAGGTTCCCTCTTCCCAGATGACTCTAGTTTGTGTCAAGTTTACAAAAAAAAACTTAGCCACATTCCCTCCCTTTATTTCTCAGCCCCAGAACCGTCTTCTTGGGCTAAGACTATACAAATATAATGCACCACACAAAGACACCTCAGGATGTTCATCAAACACATCCTGATGCTATTTGTCCTATGATCTGCTGCCTGAGCCCCACCCTCACAACTTCCTCTCAATAAAGTACCATTCTAAGTTGTCGAAGACACTAGAGAGAGGCACAAGGTCACTGAGGTAGTACCCTGGCCCTTCCTTGCAAGCCCTGGGCTCTGTGTCTGTTCACATGTAGCATAAGGTGTAAGCATTGAGCACCTAGTGCACTGTGTTGCCAGGTGGCAAGTGTCTTTCCTAACACACAGCATCTCATCTCCATTCTCCCCTGCCTAGGAATGTACCAGGTGATCGAGGGCATTATCTCACCTGTCAATGACAGCTATGGGAAGAAAGACCTGGTGGCTTCCCATCACCGAGTAGCCATGGCCCAGCTGGCCCTGCAGACATCTGACTGGATTCGGGTGGACCCCTGGGAGAGTGAGCAGGCACAGTGGATGGAAACGGTGAAGGTGCTGAGGTAACAGGTGTCATGTTCTGTGATAACATCTGCAGACTGAAGGGATGGATCAGATTGCCGAGATGGCCCCAGCCAGAACTTCCTAGCTAAGACCAGGAAAATGCCTCTGCTTACAGGGAGAGAGACCTGCAGTGTCACCTTTACAGAGAGTCCCTGGGCAAACACAAATGAGCAGCTTCTGGCACTTGGGACACTCTTGATTCCAAGGACTCCAACACCAAGTCCTCTTACCATTTAGCAGCTCTGTGACTTTGAACATGTGACTAACCTCTCTAAGACCTCTTTAGCACTTGCAAAATGAAGATGGTATAATTGGACAAAGATTATTAAAAACAACTTTCCTGTCCTAGAACCATCAAATCGCCTTCAGTAACTGGAACCTTTAACTTCTTGACATTGACAAGTTTGAAAACGGAACCTATATAATAAACCATCTTTCCTTCTTGCTTGCTAAACATAGATTCTAATGTCAGAGGGAGGAGTTATTTTAAGGACAGAGATAGGTACTCTACATTATTTTTGACTTTTCAATTCTTACTAGTGTTCAGCATGGTCAGCACAGATGTATGAAAGCCCTGGACCAGCCCTGCGTGTTAGGACAGCGAGTGGGTCACTGTCCTGGCTGTCAGAGGGGAGGAAGGCCGGCCTGCTTCATCACTGGTAGCTGGCTGCTCTGCTAGACGTCACTGCAGTACTGTGACCTGTGCAATCATACAGGGTCTACACCTTCTATTAGGGAAGAGACCACAGTGCATTCAGCAGCTCCAGTGCCACCTTAGAACCTGCTACCAAACTGATAGGACAGATGTTTAGTAACCGTATGGATACACGATCCCTTATTTTTAACCATCCATTGGTATAAGCTAGATCTCACACTAAACATGCACCCTGAACATCCTTTTAAAACGAGCCTTTCTCACCACTCGCTTCTCCAGGCTAATTGAGAGGAGCAGAAGCAAGACAGCAGATTACCCAGTAAAGCATTTACCTTTGTAAGTACTCAGTGACTTGGCCTCTATTCCCATCCCTGTGAGAGCCACAGTTGTCTGGGACGCAGGCTTTTAAACCAGATTTAACTGAATGAATGACTTGATGAAAGTGATTTGGCCTCCCCAAGTCTCACCCAATAAAATGAGAATATCAGCACCTAGCTCACAGGACACCATGTGGTTTTGATGAGGTGATGCCGGCAAATCAGCTGGTGGATAGTAAGTGCTGACTAATGTCACCTGCCCTCCCCACATCCTCAAATCCAGAAAGCCATGCACAGACACAGAGACGATGACATAGTAATTCTGTGTCACTGCTGCTTCTGCTGCTGCAGAATACCTGTGTGAGCAGAGACACAACCAAACACTCTTTTTCCTTTTCCCCTGTGCCCTTTGCTCAAATGCTTCTGGACACTGGACACACAGTGGACTTCCTAGGTCCACCACCCATGTGCCACCCCAGAATCGGTGACCTGGTGGGTCTGGGTGAGGAGGGGAGAGATGCAGCATTTCAGTCACTCCTGGTGATTCTAGTATGTATCTAGGCTTGAGCCCCACAGCTTCGGTCACTGAATGAGAGAATCAGTGTTGAGATTCACTTAAAGAGCAATTGACACACGGTCACAACCTTGGCTGCCAAAATCACTTGGAAAACTTTCTTTACATTCTCTCCCAGGCCGGGGCTTTCAGATTGCTGGCATGGACACTAACCACAGGCATCTATTTCAAGGTTTGAATGATTGATGTTGGGCGTTGTGCTTGAGACTTAGCCAACAGAGTCAACAGTTTCTTTCAACAGATAGCTGATGAAGAATCAGGCTAAAATTGTAAAGTGAATGGTTTTAGAGTCATGATAGAAATCTGACCCCAACGTTGGTGTCCTCTTGATGTGGTCACAGTGGATTCACAACACAGCACAACAAAGGTCACTGTAATATCAGCTCACCGAGGGACTCCATGGAGAGCCTTTATTCTGATGATGTTCACGGTTTTTGCTAATGCCATAAAGTCTAGGCCAACTTTAATGAGAGAGCCTTTGGTACCTGGGTTGTCACTTTCTCCTTACAGTGGGAAATAACTAAAGAAACCATTTGAGAAGAAATCTTTTCTTGTTCACACTTTGAAGGTCTTCAGCCCTCATCTAGCATTGCTATTTCTGGCCAGGAAGCAGAGAGACAGAGTGGAGCCAGAATAAGGCCCCCAAGGTCATCTCCCCAATGACCCACTTTCTCCAGCTAGACCACACCTTCCAAAGCTTCAGTCATCTCCTAAGAATGCCATCACACCTCAAACCTGCCAGTAACCATCACTGATTAAGTGAGAGCCCATCTTACAATGACTGGACCTACAGCTAGGGCCCAAGCCTTCAACACAGAGGCTTTAGAGCGTACACTTAATCACCAACCGTAACAGTAACTTCCCTTTTCCTCGTGTTGTGGGGAAGGCTTAGTCAAAGTGCTATGTCGGATGGTCTGTCCTCCACCCACATCACCACTGCAAACATGTCCTCATGAACTCATTTTACAGATGAAAAGCCAGAGGCTCAGAGATGCTCAGAGGACCACAGTTACACAGCAGATAGGCAAGAAGTGGAGCACCAGCCACTCAGCTCTGAAGCCATATCAGAGCCAGACTCTAAAGCAGAGGTTCTCAACTTATGGGTCATGGGCCCTTAGGGGGTCACATGACCCTTTCACAGGGGTCACCTAAGACAATCGGAAAGCACAAATATTTGTGTCATGATCCATAATAGTACCAAAATTACAGTTATGAAGTAACAACTAGAAGAATTTTATGGTTGAGGGTCACCACAACATGAAGAAATGGATAAAGGGTCACAGCATTAGGAAGGTTGAGAACCACTGCTCTAAAACAATGATGCTGGCTAGGGAGATGGCTCAGTGGTTGAGAGTGCTGGCTGCTCTTCCAGAGGACCCAGGGTTCAATTCCCAGCATGCCTGTGGCAGCTCATAGCTGTCTGTAACTTCTGTTTCAGGAGATATGACACTTTCACAGATACACATGCAGGCAAAAACACAAATGCACATGAAATAAAAATTAAAAGTTATTAGCTGGGCAGTGTGGTGCATGCCTCTAATTCCAGCACTTGGAAGGCAGAGGCAGGTGGATCTCTGTGAGTTCGAGACCAGCCTGGTCTATAAGAGCTAGTTCCTGGACAGACTCCAAAGCTACAAAGAAAAACCCTGTCTCAGAAAAAAACAAAAAACAAACAAACAAACAAAAAACAGTGATGTTGTCTGGGAATGTGAAGTGGCTGACTTTTCTTTTGCCATGTTACCCTTTGCTGGGGCTTCCCTGGGCAAGCTTCTGAAGATGCAGAAACCAAGCTCTTGGGGTCAGTTCAGAGGCCTAGGACAGTACACACTGGAGCACCACTCAGGCAAGCAGCAAAAAGTCAGCCAGGACCACTATGCCAAGGAACAGAGTCCACAGGGAAGATGTGCTAAGTCCCGAAAGTGAACTGCCTCTCTCAAACACAGCTATAATAATGCTCCATCGAGTCCAGGGATGGTGGAAGATAAATTAGCCCACCCAAGAGTGCTGAGGTTACCTGTGTTTGGTGAGAAAAGAAAGTGCAGGAGTCACAATTTGAAGATAGATTGCTTAAAATTGAGCATGTCAAATTTGCATAAGTCAGATCATACCCAACATGCTCTGTGACTTCGCTTGGATTAACTCCCTTCATCTTCAGAACCACCCATGGTGGGGGCACTGCCGTCACTCCCCATTTGCACAGAGGAACCATCTATGCTGACGGAGACTTGAAATCGTTCATTAGGGTGACAGCCAGCAGTGTGAGGGTTGGGATTCAACCCAAGCTGTCTCTCTCCAAGCCCAGGCTCTTAGTCACCATGCATAGCAGTTTGAAGCACAAGTTTATGATAAGAGTGTATTCTGGAGCTGGTTGGAGGCCACATGGTGCCAGGGCTTACTGTATACAGTTCATTTACCTTCCCAGAATCCTGAAATCAGGCATTACCACTTACACTTTCCAAAGGAAAATGCATGCCCAAACTTTATCTGTCTGTTTTGTTTTTTGTTGTTGGTTGTGGGTTTTTGTTTGTTTGTTTGTTTGTTTGTATTTTGGGTTTTTTTGTTTGTTTTTTTGTTTTTGTGGGTTTTTTTTGTTTTGTTTTGTTTTTTGAGACAGGGTTTGTTCTGGGTGTCCTGGTATTCACTCTGTAGATCAGGCTGGCCTTGAAGTCGCAGAGATCCACCTGCCCCTGCCTTCCAAGTGCTGAGATTAAAAGCGTCCACCACCACTGCCTGGTTCACATTTCTGTTTAGAGCTGATGCCTTGGGCATCTACTTAACACTAATGCCTATATTTCCAGTAGAGAATTACCTAGATGTGTGGGAAGGGCAGCATCAGGCTTACCTGCCCACTTCCACCAGCTTGTGTAGACTGGTAAAGTGGACTGAATAGGACTCTTTGTGGCATATGATTCCTGCCCTACACCTGGAGCATTGCCTGGCACATGGTGCATCCCCAGTGATTTTCAGGGAACCATCTAAGATGTATAGAAGCAAGTTTTAAATTCTCTGGACGCTGGGATGGTGTCGGGGGTCTAGAATACAGCACACCTGAATCCGTGTGTTTACACCACAGGCACCATCACAACCAGCTGCTGAAATCCTCAGCCCAGATGGAAGATCCAGACCCCAGCAAAACACCATCAGCCTCTGCAGGTGGGTGCCAACCCCCTCGTCTACAATGGGGGATTCAGGTGAAGACTGATGAGCCAATGGCATTTGTCCAGCCCTCTCAGCATGAACTAGAACTTGAGACCTGCCTGGTAGTGCAGGTCTACCTGCATGGGTGTGTGTGTG